GGTCTACTGCCAAGTAAAGTTTGTATTTGTAGGCCTTAAACGATGGTGGCTTAAACGATAAAAACAATCTATGTACTAAGTTGATAAAATTTACTTTCATTGACATACAAAAATTTCAAAAATTAAAGGGGCATTAACACAACAGTCGAATATAAGGTTTAATTGCTTGAGTTAAGAAAAATAATTATATTTTTATATATGGCAAACATTGACAATATACATTTATAGAAATTTAGAAAAGCTTGAAGTTTCGGAAATATAAGGTAGCAAAAATTCAAATTTTATGAATGTTGATAGACCTCAACTTGGGAGGGGTTGGAGTTGGAAAACAAATTTTTTTTCTAACGAAATGAACTACTTTTTAGTGTCTAAAAGCTCTTAAAATTTCAGACTCGTACAAGTTGCGGTCTAAAAAAAAAACGATATCAAATTTATAGAAAAATTTAACGCCTATTTTGTTTTTTCTAACTTCAAATATGCTATGCCGTATAGAAGAAGATGCCAGCCACTAGTTTTCTGTACCTGCGAAATTTGAAAAATACATATGGTTTTACTGTAACAAATAGTTAAACAATCTGAACGATATCAAAATTATAGAAAAATTTAACGCCTATTTTGTTTTTTCTAACTTCAAATATGCTATGCCGTATAGTAGAAGAAGCCAGCCACTAGTTTTCTGTACCTGCGAAATTTGAAAAATACATATGGTTTTACTGTAACAAATAGTTAAACAATCTGATGTGGTCAGCCCATAACCGGCCTCAATGTGTATTGCCTAGATAAGTGAAAGTGTTACAGAATATCATAAAAATATCTGTTAAATACTTTTTTCCAATTTTTATGACATTAATAAGCTTACAGTTAACATACATAGAAAAATGTAAATTTCACTCTTTCGTTTTGTGCTACCCGAATTCCCTGAAATGCCAGTTAGTTTCGGTTACAACCAGAACTCAAATATCAAATTTCAAGAAATTCCGTCAATTCGTTCCATAGATATGTTGAAAAATGTAAAATCGGTCCGCAGATCAGTTCTCGAGCCCGGATCTTTCCAAAAAATTTATGTGTTCATTATTTTAATACGAAAAATTTAAATATTAAATTTCAATGAAATCGGTTGATTCTCTTTATATACGCAAAAATGTATATTCGGCCTGTAGTAAACCTCCAGTTGCTGATGCCTGATTTCTTCCAAAAGTTAGAAGGTTTCGCGCACGGAAGAGCAAAGCTTATGTATGAAATTTCAAGTAAATCGGTTAAATATTTTCTTCAAAATGGTCAAAAATGTAAAACAGGCCCGCCAAAAAGTGCAGTTCCCGAGGCCTGATATATCCCAAAAGTTGATCAATCCGTGCCATGGTTGAAATAAACTTACATATAAAATCGGTTCAGTCGAACTTGAGATACACGCGTACACACACAGACCGACAGGTTGCTAAAAATAGTGTATTCAACTAAAAATAGTGTATATAATATTTGGTGCATTCCCACCAAAAACTCGATGTGTAAAATTAGTTGCTATCACATACTTACCTATTGTATACACAATACGGTCGGTAAAAATTGTATGTTTAGTATTTTGAGGTGCTATAACTTTATGTGGGGAGAAGACAGATAAAAATGTTCTTCTACGGAAACAATTTTCTAGTAAAGATCTTTTTATATATGTATGGAATTTGAGCTTTCTATCTTCAAAGGTGTAGAAGTTTTTTATATATGTCCACGGACCGGCAGAGTGAAATTAATAAGGACTTTCTTTTAAATTTTTTTTGAAACAGTGAGATAAGTGTCTATGTCAATGATTTGAAAATTTACATAAGAATCGAGTCCATTACTGATGGCTTACTCTTGCAGTGTGACCTAAAGTAATTTGCAAATCGCTGCAATTTCAACAGTCTTTGCTCTAATTTCTGTAAATACTCCATTCTAAACTGCACTATCGTCGATCCTTATCTGTAACCAGAGGCTATTTCTTGAATAAAGATAAACTTGGCAGAGTTGGCTGTATTAAAGATCTAGGTATTTTATTTGGCGATACTTTAACTTTTAGGTAACACTATAATGTCCTGATCAGTTGGCCTTTATTCATTTAGAGTTCATTAAGAATTAAGCTTCGTTGTGTTACACAACCTGTACGCCATAATAATCTTGCCATAATAATCCCCTTTCTGCAAACTATATAATAGATTGAACGCAGTTCAAAAGAACTTCTTAAGGTACACTCTGCTGAATTCTGGATGAATAAATTCCATTTTTCTTTGGAAACTTTTATCATAAATTGTTTTTAAATAGCTTGGTTTAAACTGGTATAATAAAATTTAAAAGCGAAAAAGCTAAATTAAATTTAATTCGCAGATTAAAAAAAATGTTTCGATTATCGAAAACTGCATTTTAAGAACGGCTAAAGGACATATGTAGAACCGAAAATGACGCAAAGAAAAAGCGTCCCGTAATTGTTTCCTCTTCCAAAAATCACCAACTTAAATTTTTTTAGCAGCTCAGTTCGCAATTGCTACATAATTTCATCAAAATCGGTTGCTAAAAATAGTTTATTTACACTACCTTACCATGACGGATTGATCAACTTTTGGGATATATCAGGCCTCGGGAACTGCACCACGAAACAAACGATTTTTTCCAGCTAGGCTTTAATGCAGAATTCCTTTCTAAAAAAAAAGTCGTCAGGAAAACGAAAAATTTGAGAAAAATCTGATGATAATCGATTGCTAGTTTTTCCAATTATATTTAATTTAGTGTCAGATTTCGAATACAGATCTACGTATTCTGATGTGTAAAAGGTATCTTACAAAGTATTATATTAGGTAAAGAACGGATTTTAATATATTGAAAATATTACGTAAAGAACGGATTTAAAAGTAATGAAAATTTAAAGATATATGTATGTGTATTTCATCATCATCTTTTGGTTCTACAGCTCAGGGTGAGCCTTGAACTCGTTCACAATTTTCCGCCAGACTTCACAGTTCTGAGCAGATTCTCTCCAATCATGGAACCAATTCTTCTACAATTATTTTTTATAGAATCGAGCCATTAAGATGTAGGTCTGCCTCTTGTACTTGTGTGTGTATGGTCTTGCATCTAGGATTCTTTTCTGCGCTTGACGTCCTGGCATTCGAGATATGTGTCCTGCCTATCTTAGTCTGTGTCCCTTAATATACTAAACGATATTTTTGCCATCAATTAGTTCTTCTAGCTCCCGATTTGATTTTATTTTATATTCCCCGTTTTCGTTTAATGTGTATTTATATTTATGTTAATTAATGAACTATTTTGTGTTTTAAAAATGAATTGATCTATTTAAACCTCAAACGACCTTGATATTTTTAATTTTTTTTCTTTTCAGTTTTTTTTTTGATTTTTGAATTTTTGATTTATATTTTAGTAAGACTGATATGAGAAATACGTTTTTTTTTTTCACAAAATATTTTAATTTTAAACATTAATTTTAAATCCATCTGAGACAAGACGTGAATTACTAATACTTATACACGTACCTGTGTTATTAATATTGTAACTTTTTTTGATCATTGTATTACATCAGTAATCATTTATTTATAATTAACTTAAATGTACTCAACTAAATTATATTATAAACTAACGACAAAAAAATTCATATATTTAACTCAATAATTATTATTCCATATTTAGCTCAAATGACTTTTAATGCTAAATTTAAAATGTTTATTTACGATATACTTATTATATTTGGAGTAAAATCTTCCTACCGTTGATAAGTAAATCCACCTTATAGGTGACCTAGAAGTAAAATTTAGTTTGTCCAAAACTAAAATAACAAAAGTTTTCCCAATCTGAAGACTAGATCAGTGCCTCTGTGAATTCCTATTTTATAAATGAATATACGGATTGCAAAACAGATTAATAGGTCAATCAATACGTCTATGTAATTGTGTAAATATGAAATTAGTTTAAAATTTAAATATCAAGCTGTCACTTTTTTCTTATTAATTTTTTGTAACTAATTCTTTCGTAGTTATGTTGCTTACTTCTTTTACGCTCAGTAGTAGTGTTACATTAAATGTTAATATTGTAATGAGTTCACAATAATAAACTAACACCGCTCAAATTTTTCTCTCGAAAAAATAAAAAAGGTTTTTAGCTCTCTTAACAAAATCTACACTCTACTAAAACTTTAAATATATGCATATTTTGTTTAATGTTGAGTTCAAGAAATATACAATAATAAAAAACAAAAAAGATATATTTGATCATGTCATCTCTGCGATACCCGTGCAAATATTTTCTTAGACCTACTTATATGATAACTAATAAAAGTTCTCTTATAACTTGTGTTAATATTTTAGTACAAAATATTACTCTTGCTATTAAAAATGTGTTAATGAAATTAAGAAACCGTAGGCTTTAAAATTTTTGGTGTTGGTTTATTTCACAGCTATAGCAAATACTTATGCCACCGCAACCTATTAAGAAAACTAGTTCAGTAGTTTAAGAAAACTAGTTCATGAAAAACTAACGTTTTAGCTTTTTCTGCACATTCCCTAATTATTTTTGAGCTTAATTGCAGCAATTGCGAAACTTTATATAACCACGAGAAAATTTTTTCACCATAGTGGTCCTATTACTTAAATTATTTATGTTAAATTTGGATACTGCAGGCTTTATAGCTTCCAAGTGCGACCAAATTATTCTTGGAGTTGTGTGACAATTATTGAAAGAGCCCACACAACCACAAAAACACAATAATATATACATATGTTTACATTACAAACGGAGTTTTAAATTTTTTATACTATTTAAACATCCATTCGTACGGATATAAGCAAGCAACTACTCAATTTTTCCTCTTTTGGGAATAACCAGAAAAATGCTAGTTTTTGTAAACGTATAAGATAAGAGATAAACCAGTTTTACAATAAATTTAGTCTTGAAAGCTACTGAAGTACGTGTGCACTATATATTTTCAAAATAGCATATACATATGTAGTACATTTTAAGAAAACCTAGTGAAATAAATGTATATAATTAGTTAAATAAAATGAGTTTATATTAAAAATAATATTTTATAACCACAATAAAAAAATAAAACAAAATATATCTTAAATAATAATGAAAAATGAATATAAATTTTACACGGGAGTTCTGCAAAAGTGTGTTTCTATATAATTTACAAAATTATATTAGGTTTTGTGGTAACTTTAAAACAGAAAGAAAATATAATAAGCTTTTAAAAGACAACGAAGAGAAATTCAATAAAATCCATTTTACTATTAAAAAAAGATTAAGAACAAAACTATTTTTGAAAAATAATGAAACAAAAGAAATAAAATTCAAATATTGTGATATTTGTAAAAATATTTTTATTTTACATGAAATGATGAAAAATCATTTAGAAAATTTTAAATTTCATTATAATATTCGTGCAGTTTTATTTATTACTAATTTTTTATTATTTTTTTCATTAGTAAATAGTCAAGGTAAGTGAAAGTTTCATTTAATGAATAATGGCTCAAAACAGTCATTTTATACTAGTTTTTTTAATATTTAATGTATACGATATGTGTGTATAGAGAGAAAACTTATGTCTTTCAATTGACTAGTTTTAATACTTTAAAACAAAAGATTTGAGTTAATATTCATTAATGCAGTAAATAAAACTAACAATTCAAATTTTTTGCTTAAATTCCATTTTAAAAAACAACATTTACTTAGGAAGTCTAATACACTGTGGCCCAAAAAGTTTCATATTTTAAGTTCCACCAATTTAAAATAAACTATACGGGAAGGAAACTTCTATTTTACGAACTGGTTACATATAGAAATAATATGTCATGCTTTATTATCTATTAATTATTAATTTTTTAATGAATAGAATAATACCATTTAATTTTAAATCTAATTGTTATTTTAAATTAGTGCAAGTTGAAAGCGATTTTTTTTAGCTATTTTTAGACCTCTGGTTATTATAATCTGTAGTATTAATTGAAATATTAATATTCTTATGTGATTATATAATTTATAACTTTGTTTTTGACAATTCAAATAACTCTAGACCTCCTCCACTCTAGTTTCAAATATAAATACATATTTTTGCTGCCTTTTTGTAAAGTTTTGCAGCATTTTATAATATTACGTAAGTCTATCCAGTATAAGAAAATTTTTAAAAACCATACTTTTAAAAACTTTATAAAGTTTTTGCATGCATCTGGGATAATACTTTTTGAACAAAAATGAGAGAAAATGACGACATTCTCATTGTCTCAATGTCTAAAGTTTTTTCAAGTTTTGTACAGTAAAATTTATTTTTGAAAAAAAATTTTCATCAACAATAACTTTTTTACCAAAACTTTGCAGTTAAAAATAAAATAAAATAACCAAAATGAGTTCACAAATGGATTTTTCTAAGTTTCACACTTTTTTAATCCAAAATTAAAATTTTCGGTTTTTGGCATAACCAAAAATATTTGTTTAAACATATGTTTGATAAATACTTTAAAATTTGACGTTTATCACATATTTATAGTTTTTAAAATTTTTTTCAAGTTTTCCGCCTGGTTTATATTTTTTTAATGAGAATTTTTTTTCTTGCGAGAAATTTTGTCATTGTTTCTCTTTTTAAAGTTTTTCAAGTTTTATCCCAGACAGACCTATTATGTACATATATTTAAACTTTTTACCGACCGTATTGTGTAAACAATAGGTAGGTGATGTGATGGCAACAAATTTTGCATATCAAGTTTTCGGTGGGAACGTACTTCTCCATAGTAGGGAAGTGTAAATAAACTATTTTTAGCAACCTGTCGGTTTGTCGGTCTGTGTGTCCACGCGTGTATCTCAAGTTCGGCTGAACCGATTTTGATGAAATTTTATATGTAAGTTTATTTCCACCATGGCACGGATTGATCAACTTTTGGTATATATCAGGCCTCGGGAACTGCACTTTTTAGCGGGCCTGTTTTACATTTTTGAACATTTTGAAGAAAATATTCATCCGATTTACTTGAAATTTTATATATAAGCTCAGCTCGACCGTCCGCGAAAATTCCTATGTTTTGGAAGAAATCAGGCATCGGTAACTAGACGTTTACTACGAGCCAAATATACATTTTTGTGTATATGAAGAGAAATAATCAACCGATTTCATTGAAATTTAATATATGAATTCCTCGTATTAAAACAATATACATATAAATTTTTTGGAATGATCAGGGTTCGAAAACTGATTTGCGGGCCGATTTTACATTTTTCACCATTTTGAAGAAAATATTCAACCGATTTACTTGAAATTTCATATGTGAGCTTTGCTTGACCGTCCGCGAAAATTCCTAGCTTTTGGAACAAATCAGGCATCAGCAACTGGACGTTTACTACGGGCCAAATATAGATTTTTGTGTATATAAAGAGAAATAATCAACCGATTTCATTGAAATTTAATATTTGGATTCCTCGTATTAAAACAATGAACATGTAAATTTTTTTGAAAAGATCAGGGCTCGAAAACTGATCTGCGGACCGATTTTACATTTTTCACCATATCTACGGAACGAATTGATGGAATTTCTTGAATTTTGAGAATCTTATTTGAGTTCTGGTTGTTACCAAAACCGACTGGCAAGCATTTCAGGGAATTCGGGTAGCACAAAGCGAAACCCTACTAAGAGACAAATTTACATTTTTCTAGGTATGTTAACTATAAGCTTACTAATGTCCAAAAAATTGGGAAGAAATATTTAACAGACATTTTTATAATATTCTGTAACACTTTCATTTAACTAGACAATACACAATGCGGTCGGTTATGTGCTGACCACATCAAATTTTTTTATGATAAAATGTTGCAAAATCTGATATTTTTTTATTTTTTTTTTTAATTTATTAGGCAATTTTGTAAAAAAATGATGTCGCTATGATGCAAAATTACATAATTATGTGGATTAGGATTGACATTCTAAGTAATTTCTTATTGATATACACATACATGCGTTTGGGTATTATTCCACTTTAATGTATCTTTGATAACATAGTATTACTAATAGAACCAGGATGATAAGAAATAGTGACACTTCGAAGTTGAAGAATTTCCGTGTATATTAACGGTAACATCATAACATCATAAATGTCAGAAATCAATAAAATAGAAAATTATATAAGTAATAGAAATAAAAATATTATAATCAATAAATGATATACTATTCAGGACAAAATATACAATTTTCGAAAATAGACAAATTCTCATTGGCAACCAACTAAATTGACTTTTTTGTTTCTTCAAATTTAAAAACTGTATACTTATTTGACATAAACTTTTTAATGATGTGATATGTCTCTCACTTATAAGTATACTTATATACTCACATGTACAAGGTGTTTCACATAAGGTGGCAAATAATTTTAGGGTTGAGTCTTTGACCAATTTCAAGCAAAAAATTATACGGATGGGTGCAGTTATACACGTTTTCGAGCTAAAGTTTGTTGAAAAAAAAGGTATTGGATTTTCCTACGTGTAAATAAATACTTATAACTCCGGAACCATTCGACATAGAGATACCATCGGAAGTTTCTTTTACTGGCGATTGACTGCTCTTTATTTTTGGTGTTACAATCAAATTGATTTAATCCATAATTATACCCGTACCAATGTATGTTGGGAGGGTGTACTAAATTTGCCTTACCGTTTGTAACGTTAAGAAATAATGTTCTGCGATATAGGCTTTTGATGAACGTCGAATTTTGAGTCGATTTAGCTTTGACTGTCCGTCCGTCCAAACGATAACTCAAAAAATTTATTGAGCTAAGTTCGCCAAAATTTTCACTTGCCAGAACCCTATTTAAATTGGATATGATAGGGATACTGGTTCGGGTGGCTGCCATACCACTTTAAAATTTATTTGACTATAACTTAGAAACTTTGAGAGCTTTGGTATTGAGATTTCATACAACTGAATATATTAGTAGGGCTAATATGTTTGATAAAAGTAATTGTAATTGCTTGCCCCACACAACTTCAAAATCTTTGTTTAGCTATATCTCAGAAACTATAAAAGCTGTAGTAAGTATTGAAATTTATGTTAGTAGGGTCAATGTGTTGAAATTGCTTGGGCCTTCCTGGTAGCTGCCATATAACTTCAATAGTAGTTGGGTCATATCTTAGAAAATATTGAAAACGCAGTACTGAAGTTTTGCATAAATTAATAAGATAATATGGCAACTAAAGGTCAGTCTGTCCCATAGTTAGCTAGGACATATATATTCACATATACAACAAATACGTACGGGTGTCACAGAGTTGATACAGTCAACTCTATTTTTTCTTGTTTTAGATAAAACTCGTCAATTAGCCCCATACAATTTTTTGCTGCAAATTGATCAACCCTAATTCACTACTTTAGGTAAACTCGTCCGTTAAAAATTTGTAAAGCATTTCATAACAATTTTGTTATACTCGATTTATTTTATTTTTATAATCGAGTTTAAAACTTTATGATTATTATCTTATAATTATTATTCAATTTCAAACTTAAATTCCTACTTAAAATCTTACAATATTTTTTTTAGTGCATCAGCTTATTCTTGTTCTCAATTTTGTCAAATGTGTTGTCTGACTGGTTAATATTATAGCGGTTCAAAAGAAAATGCGGGAAAACTCTAAAATTTATTTAATTAAATTATAGTTAAACTTTCGACTTGGAATTTGACTTTTTGATACACATTATGTTGCTCAGAAAACTTTCATTGATTAGAACTAAAAAATTATTTGGTTTCAGTATTCTTTTATAGAAAATTTTAAATGAAAATAGACAAAATCTTCATTTTAATGAACTAGGAAGAAATAATAGAATGTACTTTAAAAAGTAGAAAATAATTTTGGCAATGCTTAGCAAAGGATTTTTATTTTAAAATTTTAAATAAATCACTGGTTGCATAGGGTTAAGATTAATAAGAATTAAAGTAGGTAAGAATATGTTTTAATGCCTTGTTTAAGAATATGATTTAAGCAATTAAATCATATGCTTTCAGTAATTAAATACCAGAACAAAATATGCCACGTCTTTATGAAATTATGCATTACCAACTGATTTATCAAAGTTATTATTATTTGACCTTGCGTAACTCCGTAAATTTCTAAATATAATTCTATTTTGAAAGGTATTAATTATACACTCAAAATAAAAAGTATGTAATTTTTGAAGGAACGCTACCAGTTAAAATATACTCCGTTGATTTTCTTAAGAAAAAACGTTCCATTAAAAAAATTTAGTTGAATCTGGTGAAAACAATGTAAGTTTCACTCCTTTAAATACGTCCGTTGCAAAGCATATATCAACCAAAAACGGCAAAATTTGATTTTTGACTGTCATTTTCGTTTATTTTAACAAAATCAAAGGAAGAAATCCTTTAACACTTTTAAAATTTAACAAAATTAAAGATGCTTACTTTGTCTGTTGCAAAATTGAATTCTAATAAAGGAAAAAATTTG